ACTGTGAGAAATTGCTTCACAATCTATCCTGGAATCCATCTAAAGTTGCTCACCCAACTTTATGTTTAGTAAAGCTAGCAAATTAAGTAGAAATCCATGAAGGGGTTAGATGTTTATGATTATTTTCTCCATCTGGTGTCTGTCCATTAGACTTGCTGTGACATCGGTGACTCAGATGTTTATTATGCAAAAAACAAAAAAAAAACATACTGTTTAGTAAGCTGTTTAAAAATGTCTTATTTTGCTGATTTTTTTTTGTATCCTTCTGCTAATTTATAATAACTACACAGTATTTTTAAAGGAAGTGCACCTCTGGCTATTTCCCTTTAACTGCATTTGTCAAGAATAGGTTTGCATGCCATCTCGGTAGAATAAACTTGCTTTTTCAGTAACTTGCCTTATTGGAAACCAATTATTCTTTTTTATTGCCTTCTAACATTAAAAACAAACCAGATGAAAGTGCACGCTCGACAATATTTCACAGTCAAAAACGAGCCCAGCAGAGATGTCTGGTATAATAGGTTATACTTTGCATCCATAAAACATGGACAAAATAATGACTGCAGCTGTGAAATTGTATCCTTACTACCAAGTAGGCTGCAGATTTTGACATGTAAATCACAAGACGATTTTGGAATAATCTGTTCTGAAGAATATTCGTTGTTTGAATTCCAACGGCTTGTTTAATCCAGTGTTATTTGAAGAAATGAAAAAGATATACAAACATAACTGACTGATTGGGAAAGTAAAGGGAGCATTTAATTCTGCACGTCAATCCCAATGTGTCTTTACACACTGGTGAAGAACTGAGATTTTCCAGATGGACAGAGGGCCTGATTACACATCAAAGCGACTGCAAATTTGAGGGCAGGAAGGGCAAAAATCTAAGGCTTTGACCTCCCTGGGAAACTGGGAACTGGGAACAAGACAAAATGCTAGACAATAAGAAAGACTGCAGTAGGTCAAAACAGAAAGTGAAAAGGAAAAATTATGAAGTCTGTTTGGGTTTATGGGACCTAAAGCCTCATTTAGGTAATTTTACATCCCTTATAAAGTCAAATCTGAACGATATAAAATACAATATTGAAAATCGGGAATAAATGTTTTATACTGCAATCTACACCCATAAAATTACCATCTGACAGATCATCTTTTTGGAGAGACTGTGTTATATCAGACATTTATTGAGTAGGACATAACAGTGTCAAATGATTTTAGTCTTTTGCTCTTTACAGCTCCTCTTCATTCAAGTGAAATAACAACAGCACATTCATTTCTCTGAAAATTCATAACCCATAATGCATCCCTGTAGTCTAATCTACAGAAACAAGCACTAAATGAGCAGGGGATAATTTGAAACATACTGCTAAGGCAGTCCACTGCATCATCACTTAACACTGTAAACAGCAACAACCTATTTGGAGTTGCAGTATTCATTGTCATATAAATCATGACATCAAGCATATAACAGTACAACAACACAAGGTTAGGCAAAGTAATTAACTGTACAGCAACCAGGGATCTGCTGTGTCAAATTGGCATACTCTGCCTGCATTTATCTTGCATCTAGATACACTTCATCACTCAAGACATAGCATGGTGGCAATTAAAAAGTAATGATTCACTTGCAAACAACCTGGAGGACTGATGCATGTGCACAGATGTACCGAAGCACAATTATTATTACACTGGATGCATTTTTAATTGGAACTGTGTGTCATCACCGACAACGATTTCAACTTTGAAAAAAATTAAGATGTGTTTTATAATAAGAGTTTCAAGTAATGGGACTGTACATTGGTTTACTAGAGTATTTGCAATTTCCATTGATCAGCTTGTTCCAAGAATATCTTACTGATATTTTTGTTCACATTTTTAACTTCAAAATTTACAGGTCTGACTGATTTTAATAGTTCTCTAGAGACATGCTACTTAGAAAATTCTTTAGAGTGGTTAGAAATCTGACACTGGCTTTTATGATTTAAAAAACTAATTTAGGCACTTGAATGCACCTGAATAAAAGCCACAACCACTAACTTTAAAAGAAAAAACCCCAAACATAAACAGGGAACATTCATAGGCTGCACTTGTCTATAAGCTGCACATGTCCATATTGTGTATACCTTGAGGTTTTCCTTTGAGATTTTTAAAAACAATTTTATTATAATTATTTGATATTATTTTTTTCTCTGTTATTATTAACATAACTTTGGAATTTTTTTAAATGATTTTTTGCGTCAAAACGTCCTCTACTATGTGCATTTGTGGGGTTGGGCACACACACATCCTAAACGAATGTATTGTTTATTTTCCAGCTGATGCTTTTTCCATAAGCTAAATTTGTCTGTGCAGTGAAGCCAACTAAAAATGAGTCAACAGACTTCTAAACCATTAAATTTGGTTGAATGGTTTGCCAAAAGAATAGAAATTAGCCAAATATTGTAACTTCACTTACTCCTCTTCGATTGGAAACCTGCAGGAAGAGAATTCACTTCAGTTACGTAGACAATGATTTCTTTCTTTATTATTCATTGTAATCTGTAACAAATCGGTATGTACGCATACGTGTGTGTACCTGCATTACATTGTATGCATTAGGCCTTGTGTGGATCAGATGCGCCGCTTTTGTGCCCGATGCGCGTCGCACTCGGCCTATTTGTGTAGGTCAGGAACTGAGCGTCAGGTGTGGGGTGTGAAGTTGCTGTTTCTGTGTGCCATGTGTGTATCCAACATACACACAGCACACATATGGTCTATATCTGTCAGGTGCACTGTGCTGGTTTTGTGCACCACGCGCATGATGCGTGTTGTGGATGAGGTTGTGTTAATTAATGTGGGTCAGGTGCGTTGACGGTTCTTGTGTGTGCCCTCGGACAATATCCTCCATGGCCTCAATCACTTCAGTGCATCTGTTCTTGTCTTTCTCAATAACTTTCGTCTCATTTTTGAGCTTGTGCTGTTCTCTTCAACACGCGGCAGTCGAGCCTCTCGAAACCCGTTGGTAAAAGCTTTCTATTAATGCAGTGTTCAAAGCGCGTGAAAAAAATAGTAGTGGCTCATAGTCCAGAAATTGCAGTGACTCCACAAAAGCTGGTTGCAAAATGAAGAAATATTTTAAGAGGTTGAAAATGTTACCCATTTCCTGGCTACTTTAAGATTTAGTCCTCCAAAGTCATTGTGTTTTAAAACTATAACTTTGGAAACCACAGGAATTCAGCGGGGTGTTAAAAACCAGATTAACTTGATAAAACATTAGGATGAGAAGAAAAAGTAACACAAGGCAATTTATATGGATAAAAACCCTTCTATGCTAAGAACCTAAATTTAAGTCTGCCACCAACAAATTAGAAATACAATTTTGAATTTAAAATTGCTTGTTGCAGAATAAATCTGTATGGTGCAAACTGTTGTTGAATTGGTGGGAAATTCTTTTGCACTTTTTGAGTGGCTTTTTGTCATATAAACAAAACCTACTCACCAAAACACCCAGTTTTTTTCCCCTAAGTAAATAAGTTAAGGTGATACAAAAAAACAGAAAGTCATTTTTAACATGGCTTACAGTGTTAGTGGATTTTAGGAGAGCAAAAACTGGACATTTAACAATCTGCTTTGTTGTCAAACGCTTTGATATTCAATAAATGGTTTTGACTCAACAACCACACTACCCAAAGTGCCACATGGCAATAAATCTAAGTCAAGGCCAAACACTGGGAAGAACTGCACACTGTACACAATAGAGCCCAGCTAGCAGGTCAGCTTGCCGGTAAGAACTGAAAATTTACTTTAGGCTAGACCATTGCAAATATCCCTAAAAATCAAAACTAGTCATGTTTAGTAGTTTCATATAACTACTGAGCTGTATTAGGCCGACAGGTATTCACAAAAAGATTCAGCAAAATGTCATTTGAACTATTTTCTTCTTTGTCCATCGATGTAGAATATTTGCAGATCATTAGAACAGATTCTGTGGAAACTTACATGCAAGTGAAATTTGATCCTTCGCCATCAAGGCAAGTGGCTCCATTGAAGCACAGTGGGACATTTAAAGCGGTGTCTCTGCAAACATCTATGTCATTTTCACAAGTCTTTCCTGTGAACCCATCCAGACAGAAGCATGCGTATTTATCAATGAGATCTACACACGAGCCTCCATTCAAACAGGGATTGAGGGCACAGTCCTGAAAGATATAGAAGGTGGAAATGAGAAACGCCTGGGCAAAAATAGCTACAACGTTGAAGATGTTGTACTATTTCAGATTTTGAGGTAAGAAACACCCAATAAATTCATCTTTCAACAGTTAATATGAAAATCATCAGTTTATGTATTAAAGCTACATAATGCCTGCAAGCAATTCTATGTTTTATCTCTAGAGTCCAGCAGAGAGCTTTGGTTTAAATCAATTAGGCATTAGACTAAGCAATTCCTTTTAATCAGGTATTTGTACAATGTTTACATGATCCTGGTAGTGCAATTGACTTATCTTGCACAAAAGTCAATAGAGGTAATGATACCAAAGGCCATGCAAAGACTACACAATTCTCCTGGCATTTTCTGCAGAACACCCAGCAGGTTTATTAATTAAGCTAAACTCACATCAATGTTTGTTTCACATCTGCTGCCGATCCACCCCGTCTCACAAAAGCAGGTGTATGAATTTATTCCATCTTTGCAGCTGAGAGAAGAAAACAGACAAGGTCAAAACTGGGTCCTGTAGTGAGGAGGAAAAAAATTCAAGAGACTTTTTTTTTTCTTTCAAGCTTTATTTCTGAATAGTTTTAGAAAATTCTTAAAGAGGGAATATATAGTATTTTGAATGTAGTAGTTTCTCTTTAGCCAAGTTAAGGGTCACAATTTAAGCACCACAAGAGGATGCACTAGATCGCATTAGCTTATTAATTATGAAACATTTCCTGTTTATTAATTATGAAACATTTCCTGTTTATTAATTATGAAACATTTCCTGCTGGCAACATTTTTCTCATTCTTTTTTGAAAGACAGTGAAAAGTTGCACCTTCCATGAAGACAAGGTGCTGACATGCATTCATCAACGTTGGACTCACAGTGGAGCCCAATGAGGCCATCAGGACACCAGCAGTGATATTGATTAGGCCCATCAATACATCTTCCACCATTTTGGCATGGACTAGAAATACACTCATTGATGTTCACTTCACACCGTAACCCTGGGGGGGAGGAAAAAAAAAAAAAAAGAGAGTGTGTTTTAGTATTCTAACAAAGACAAACCATATGCTATCTATACAAAACAGCAACAACTGAGCTCAAGGGCAGTAAGGATTACAGACAATTTATGTTCTATTAAGAGGAAAAAGGTTCAATTATTTTGTGACATCTGGGCTCAAACCAATTTTCTAGGTACGTTAAGCTTTTTAAAATTAAACAACATGTGATAATGTAAGTTAACCTTGGTTAAGTTCTCAGGTTTCTTAGTTTGCCAATGGGAGATAAATGCAGACTACGTCCTTTACAGTCCTTTACGGTGCTTTACGGTGCCTTTTTAAAAGTATTCACACCTCTGCAACATTTTACTTTGTCACGTTACAAAAAACAAACTTGAATATATTTACCTGAATTTTATATGACGGACCAACACTTCAAACTTAAATCAAAAAGTGGGTGTTTTTTTGATATTTTTTAATCAAAAGAAAAAGTAAAAAGTTGGGAGAGATCCAGAAATATTTAGATTTAAATCATGTATAAATTAAACAATAAAAAAAAAAATTAATAATTTAAGTTAAAGTAATTTATATATTTGTAAATAAAGCCACAATTATTTATATTTGATATAATTGTGAATAAACATTTGAAATGTAAAAAATTAAGTAATCACTTTAAAGTAAAAAAAAAAAAAATTAAGTTATTGAGCATTTTGTTCATTTGACTCTATTGAAGCACTCAGAGGTTGTGATCCACAGTGTTTTGTGTAGTGTTTGTTTTCTTTGCAGTTTAAATGAAAATAATGTCAAACTTAAACAATACAGGCACTAATATTATAAGACGCAAACATATTTTTAATGTAATTATTTATTCTTTTCAAAAAGTTGTTTAAATGTGTTCACTTTCTTTCTGACCAGCTAACAAAGAAAATTGTTTTTGTGATGTACTGATAACTAAAGGAAGCTAAAAGATAACCTGGTCTTTCAGTGGAATCCAGTTGTGAAAACTGCACAGGTACATCAATCCCTTTCAAGTGGGGATATTACTCAAATCAAGGCAGAATCTGATGACAGCAGAGCTCATGCTGCACACTCTGAAAATCAACCTTTATGGAATAGTGGCAATATGTTTGCTGAGAGAGAAAGTGAGAAAGAGAGGAATGAAGGGAGAGGGATAGCTTGGCAGATTATGTAAGTATTTTTGTTTTATTTTTTATGTTCTCAATTTTTTTTTTTTACATAACTAAAGGTGACAGGGTTGTGTAGGAAGTTTGCATCCACTGTTTTCTAAGATGTTCTACATAGACAAATAAAATATATATTTTTTATCAAAAGCAAAACCGTTGTGAAAATGATTAACTTTGACCTACACGGTTCTGGTGTTGATTCTTCGCCTTCATTTTCTTTTATTTTTTCCATAGTACGAGTCAGTAAACTCAAACTGCCATTCAGAAAATACAACAAATTCAATCAGTTAATAAAAGAGGTTCTTACAATCCGGATTCCTGCGTCTTACAAAGAGCACTCTGTCCAGATAAAACCGCGTTGGCAGCAAGATATGTTTTTCCTTTATGATCTCTGTAGTAACCTTTGATATGGAGTGATCACACAGCCTGGCAGGAATGGTAAACATGAGCATGTTGCATTCCAGAGGATAAAAGATTCTTCAACTCTCTTATTAAACTCATGTTTTGCCTCTATACATGAAACTCTCTTTATTAGAAAAGTCTTGCTATGGTACAACATCAAAGAAAGTCTGTTTTTTTGTTTTGTTTTTTTAAGTCAAAATTAGCTCAGAATGTTCTAAAGATGGAAAAAGATCCGTAGCAATATTTTTGCTATGATGGTTGTTTGGCTAAATTTATTCTTATTTATTCAGTTCTTGCAAGTTTAATATGTTTGTGGGGTGAGAGCTAAATTTCTTGATAAACGGAAAGAAAACTCATCTTTAAAAACCCTAATGTTTAAATTACACATTTAAGTTATTTAATACACAAACATCCCAGATATTCAGTGGCACCAGCCTGTGAAAGAACATTCTGCTTTTATCCATTTTTGATGACTCTAAATGTCTTTGGGCTTTACTTGGCTTGTCTAATAAAACAGGCACTTTGAAGTCGACGGGCGTAGGCGTTTTAGAAGTAAGAAAAAAAAATACAATCTCAACAATAACAACAGTTTATACTCAATTCAAATCCCGGACAAATGTTTAATTAAGACTACGAACACATGATGATTCGTAATATATTGCAGTTTCCCGTTTGTGGATGGTTATGCAAAGTTCAGATTTTATGGGAACAAACTGGCTTTGTAGCGTACACATTTGTAATATTACAAATCATATGGATATTTTAGCCTAAAACATCCTCAATAAAGAAAAATACTGCCAAAGAGATTCAAAATCAATGTAAAAAAAAGTAGAGAAAACCTTACTTAAATAAAAAAAAATTACAAGAGTGACAGATGTCTCAAATAATATCCAAGCAAACGTGAGATTTTAAAATAGTTTGTGACTGGTCCAGGGTTAGGCTCTACATGAAGACAACTGATATTTCTTGGCTTAGGTAGACTTGAGGTATAAATGCTTGACTGTACTATAAAGCACATTTGCACTTATTAAAGAGAACTGATATGCTCACACTTGCAGCTTTGCGGTTACTTCGCCATCGTAGAATACCAGATTTGCTGTTATAGAATAACTCAAAGCATTTAAACAAAGAACTTGAAGTTTAAGAGGCCTTGTTTCGACTAATAAGAAACTTCTGCAGGATTTACATGACACTCCCTGTAACCAGCACCTCTGAACAGTACCCCTTATAAAATTTTAACTTAAGAACATACTGCACTCTATACCTAAAAAAGAAAGGCTCATCAATGATTTAAGATAAAAATCACCATTAAAGAGCCTTGGACTTTACTGCTCCAGTCAGCAGCTTCACATAAATCAGAAGAAAAAAATCGTTTTTAAGGGTGCTAAGGTTTAAATGGCTTCATAATTTATGCAGGCATTATTGATTTATTCAATATACCAATGCTTGCCTGATTTTTGAGTGGGCAGAATTAGGTATGGACACTTCATCCAAGTCTCTGTCAGATTTTTATTTTAAAATTGATGCCTTCCTCATTGACATGCTCTGCTGAAACTGGATTTTTCTTTTACACATATTGTATGAAAAACAAACACAGGATCAAACTAAGCTTTTCAAGTGTTAGGTCAGTTCAAACTACACATATTTATACTTGCTAAATGCAAGAATAATGAGCAAGATAGTCTTTCAGAGAAATATTTAAGCTTTCCTCGTACTCCAATGTTTACATAGTTCTACGAACATCTCACAACAGTTCGCTTTGCTCGAATTCTGCCCCATTTCCTCCTAACAGAACTGGTGTAACGGAGTCGGGCTTGTGGGCTGCCTCGCTCTCTCACATCTTCCCAGTTCTACTCACAGATTTGCAATGACCAATCCAAAAGCTTACCTTCGCTATCATTAAGTCACTCTGGGACACTGAGATGGTGTTCACAGGCTTTGAAGCTTTACTTTCTTCCAATGGTCATTATAACCAAATAATTCAACTTCAGTACCATCACACTACAGGACACGTCTTTATAATTCAAGGTCTTTGTTGAGGAAGGCATTTAAAGAACCAGTCCCTAGAAAGATGTGAAGGAAGGACATTCACATGGTACTTATACTTGCATATATAATTGTTTAGCTTCAGGCATCTAGAAATTTTGCCTGAGAAAAAAAAATGATGGGGGTCCAAATTTTTCTTCTCTTATATCTTGCCTGAGGTCTTATGATTTTCCTGTAATGTCACAAAAGGAAGCAGAATGCTTGAGGTGCATCTTACAAGACCTTCTATTTAAGTCAAATGTGGTAAATTAACCTGCTAGCTTTCACAAACAGCTTAAAAAGGACAGCAATATTTGTTAAACTTCTAAATGGAAAGAAAGCATAATAAGCAAAAAAATGTACACCTAAGAAGACCACAGAGCACAGCTTTTAAAATCAGTTTACATTAGCTGTAGAATCATAATCACAGCAACCCACGTTTTAAAGTGCTCACTACAAAACAGCACTGAGGCAATGCAATGGTATAGGTATACTAAATGGCATGTATACAGTGAGAGAAGGTTAATTTCATTAATTAGACTTAAGACTTGACAAAGTTAATATTACTTGTAGATGTTTCTGTAGAGTCAGCTTCTTTTGTGGGAGATGACAATTTTAAACCCTAAGTAATTTCTTGCATATTACTGCTCATGAAAGAAAAGCAAAGCAAATAATCTATTCTTTGATTATATTTTCTTAAACCAGTTTGCTGGAGTGAATAATAAAGCTTGACTGCCTGCATAGTTTTCTCCGCTCTGCTTCTAAGAAAACAACTGTTATAAACCATAAAATGATGCGTACTTGTTGACTTACAGTGCAAAAATCCAGGTTTATAATTGACTCCTAAATGGTGCACAGTGGAAAAGGGTACACAGGCAAGAAAGTTATTCGATGAAATAAAATGAAATAGAAATGGACACACTGTGGCAAAGGCAGACATTACCACTGTTTTTTTTTTCTTTTTTTTTCTAACTTCATTCAGCAAAGATTGAATTTCTGAAAGCATTAACAACAAAAACTGAAACAAACACAGCAAAAGCTGGAACATCAACATCCAACAATGTGCTGACCGAGGAAACAGCTACAATGTGCTGATTGCACTGTACAATAACTCAAGGGAGCCTGCTCACTAATGATGGGTGAAGAAGAGAAAACAGAAGGTGATGAATACTGTGCTTAAACTGTGATTTATATAAACAAGATCAGCCATTAATCATGTTGCTGCAGTGACTTATGACCCCCAAATACAACATGACATCTACAGTACGTGCAGTCCAAAAATATATTGCAGGCACTGCAGAGGCTCTTAAGTGAAATGTTCTAAATATTAATCTGTCAGCAGAAATCTATGCAGCTGTCAAATCTGCCAAATCTGACAAAACAAACCTTTACACT